GGTGGCAGACTTACAGCTCTGGGACCACAGGCTGTTCAACAAGCAGCGTGCTGAGTGGGAACAGCAGCTCAGCGCAGGGCTGCAGTCATACTTATATCTACGTTTAATGATATGCTAATTAAGAGAGCAGGTTATTCAGAATTAGCTAGAGAATGAGCTAATAACTTCCGGGTGTTGCCATGGCAATGGTAAACTGTCATGGCGCTGGTGGGCATGTCTCCCAGAGAGGTGCTTTCAGTGCCTTTTCCTGGCTTTGGCCAGTCTTCAATCTGGTCCAGAGTCGAGTCCTGTCTTCCTCCTACCTTAATCCAATACCTCCTCTACGACCAAGAAATTTCAGTCTTAGGTATTTACCCCAAGAGAAATGAAAACATATATCCACAAAAAGACTCATGCAAGATACTCACCTAGCTTTATTCATGATAACCCCAAACTGAAAATATCTCAGCTATCCATCAACCTGAGAATGGATGAGCAAGCTGGCACATCCATATGATGGAATACTAGAAAGCAATTAAAACAGACAAATGACTTGCCGGGCACGGTGGCTCATGCCTTGTAATCCCAGCACTTGGGGAGGCTGAGGCGGGCAGATTACCTGAGCTCAGGAGTTCAAGACCAGCCTGGCCAACATGGCAAAACCCTGTCTCTACTAAAAATACAAAAATTAGCTACGCATGGTGGCACGTGCCTGTAATCCCAGCTGCTCTGGAGGCTGAGGCAGGAGAATCGCTTGAACCTGGGAAGCGGAGGTTGCAGTGAGCCAAGATCATGCCACTGCACTCCAGCCTGGGAGACAGAAGAAGACTCCGTCTCAAAAATACAAAAATTAGCCAGGCGTGGTGGCTGGCGCCTGTAATCCCAGCTACTTGGGAGGCTGAGGCAGGAGAATCGCTTGAACCCAGGAGGTGGAGGTTGCAGTGAGCCGAGACTGTGCCATTGTACTCCAGCCTGGGCAACAAGAGCGAAATGTCGTCCCAAAATAAATAAATAAATAAATAAAAATAAAGAGAGAAATGACTGATTCATATAACAACATGGATGAATATCAAAAGCTTTATGTGGAGTGAAAGAAACAGAAAAGATAATCTACTACAGGATTCTATTTATAAAAAGCTCTAGAACAGACAAAACTAATCTATGGTGATAAAAATCAGAACATTAGTTGCCTGGGGGTGGGTGGAGGTGCGAGTTGGCTGGGGAGAGTGTCAGGTAACTTTCTAGGATATGGAAATGTTCTATCTTTTTCTAGTTGGGTGTATACATTTGTCAAAACTCAATGAATGGTATTCTTAGGAATTGTACATTTAACTGTCTGTAAATTTTACCTTAAAAAAAGGAACCCTAAACAAATATTAAAGTTGAGTTAATGATGTGTACAATGAAGTGTTTATGGCTGAAGTCTACTGACGTCTGTAGATTATTCTCATGAATGGATAAACTGCAGTTTCTCAACTCCAGTACTATTGACATTTGGGGCCAGAGAATTATTTGTTGTGGGAGGCTGTCCTGTGCATTGTAGGATGTGGTTGACGTCCTGGCCTCTACCCACTAAATGCCAGCAGCACTCCCACACACACAGGTTGACAATAATAAATGTTTTCAGACATTGCCAATGTCCCTGGGGGGACAAATTTGTCCTTGGTTTAGAATTGCTGAAATAGAGAGAAGGATGAATGGATACATATTTTATCCAATGCAGCTAATACAGCATATATATACACACATATATATACACACACACATACATATACACAACGACAGTAATATTATATAAAAATATATTTTTTTTTTGAGACAGAGATCAATCACTCTGATAACCCAGACAGCAGCTGCATTGCACCGATCACAGCTCATCTCGCAAATACCTTTGACCCTTGGAAACCTAACTGACTCATAAAGATCCTTCCTGCACTCATTTATATTGATTATTTTACTAACAGGAGATCCCTCATAACATCATGTTGCCAGGCTCGTCTTAGAACTCCGGCCTCAATGATTCATCCGCGCACATACACCGGCCTTCCCAATGTGCTGGGATTACAGGCATGGAGCATTGTACCGCAGGCCTAATAAGGCTGGACATATAAGAGCTGGTACAATGTAGCGCAGTGACTAATGAGTTCATGTTACACTTTTCCTCCCCGTGGGTTATGTCAACATCCCGTATCGCTTTGAAATTGTTCCGTAAGTTATTAGGGGAGAAATGCCAATACCACTAAGATCCAGCAGTACCACGTTACTAGTGACCGACCTTGGCTAGCAGGAAAAATCAAGTGCACTGCGTTCACAAACGAGGATATGTCTAAAAGAATGCTTAAAAAAAAAAAGTTCCCTTATTACAATAGCAAAACACTTGAAACAATGTAAATGCGCATCGAAACCCATCAACTGTGGAATCGTTTTTTTTTTTTTTCATTTGAGACCAGAGTCTTGCTCTAGACGCCCAGGGCTGGATGTCAGCTGTGGTCGCGATCTCAGCTCACTACAAGCCCGCCTACTGGGGTTCACTCCACCTCCTCCTGCTCAGCCTCCGAGTAGCTGGGACTTACAAGCGCCCCGCACTACACCCCTGGCTATTCTTTTATATTTTAGTGGAGACGGGTTTCACCGTGTTCAGTCCAGATCCGGTCTTGATCTCCTGACCCTCGTGATCTGCCCCACCTCAGCCTCCCAAAGTGCGGGATTACAGGCAGCATGAGCCACCGCACCCAGCCCAAGTTGTGGAATGTTTTAAAGGATCGACTACTGGGCTGGTGCATGGCGTGGGCTGATGCCGTATAGAGCCGCGGCAGTTTGGAGGTGGAGGGCAAGAGGATTGGCTTCGAGCCAGGAAGTTTGAGACCAGCCTGAGCCAACCAGAGAGACCCCATCTCTTCGAAAATTTTTTTTTTTTTTTTTTTTTTTGAGTACCGGAGTCTAGCTTCTGTCGGCCCAGGCTGAGTGCAGTGGCCCGGAGATCTCAGGCTCCACTGAGCCTCCGCCGTCCCGGGTCTTACGCCATTCTCCTGTGCCCAGCCTCCCCGAGTAGCTGGGACTACAGCGCTGCCACATCGCCCGGCTAGTTTTTTTATTTTTTAGTAGAGACGGGGTTTCCACCGTGTTAAGACAGGATGGTCTCGCATCTTCTGACTTGTGGATCCGCCCCGTCATCGGCCTCCCAAGAGTGCTGGATTACAGGCTTGGCCACCGCGCCCCGGGCCGAAAAATTTTTTAAAAATTAGCTGGGCGTGGTGGTGGAGGCCTGTAGTCCCAGCTACTCAGGAGGTGAGGCAGGAGGATGGTTTGAGTCCAGAAGTTCAAGGTTGCAGTGAGCTCTGTTGGCACAATTGCCCTCCACGCTGAGTGACAGAGTGAGATTCTGTCCACATCCAACACACACACATCACACACACACACACACACAAGAAAGAAAGAAAAGAAAAGAAAAAAGATCCTTAATTACAGTACTGCCAAGTTCCTTTTGCCATGTAAAGTAGCATATTCACAGACTTCAAGGATTAGGATGCAGACATCTTTGGGGGGCCACTATTCATCCTACGACAGTGATTGTACCATTTTACATTCCCACTATCAGTATAAAAGAATTCCAGTTGCTCCACATCCTCATCAACAGTTGTTGTCAATCTTGTTTATTTTAGTCATTCTGGTACATTTCATTATGATAAATAATATACATTAATTTTACACATTTAAAAACACTGGGCTGGGTGCAGTGGCTCACGCCTGTAATCCCAGCACTTTGGGAGGCCAAGGTGGGAGGATCACTTGAGCCCAGGAGTTTTAGACCAGCCTGGGCAACATAGCAAGACATCATCTCTATATTTAAATAACAACAATAAAATAAAAACATCATTCTATATTCATTATTGCCACACCAAAGAATTATACAGGCTAAATATCCTTTGACTAGGGAATGTATAGACAAACTGTGATATATTTGTACAATGGAATACTACTCAGCAATGAAAAAGCATACACTCCTGACACGTACCACAGCATGGGTGAATCTCACATGCATCATGCTAAATGGAAGATGCCGGACTCAGAGGCTATACACTCTGTGATTCTATTTATATAACATCCTGCAAAAGGCAAACCACAGGGGCTGAAAACAGAGCAGTGATTGTCAGGAGCAAGAGAGGAGCTGACTACAAAGAGGCACAAGGGAATTTTCAAGGGTGACAGATCTGTTCTGTGTCTTAATTTTGGTGGTGGTTACATGGGTGTAAGCATTTGACAAAAAGCATAGCACTGAGGCTGGGCACAGTGACTCAAGCCTGTAATCACACCACTTTGGGGGACCAAGGTGGGAGGATCTCTTGAGTCCAGGAGTTCGAGACCAGCCTGGGCAATATAGTGAGACCCCCCCCATCTCTATACAAATTTTAAAAAATTTATCTGGATGTGGTGGTGCAAGGCTGTGGTCGTAGTTACTCGGGAGTCTGAGGCAGAAGGATTCTTTGAGCCCAGGAGATTGAGGATGCAGTGAACTGTGATTGAACCACTGTACTCCAGCCTAGGTGACAGAGTGAGACTCCGTCTCAAAAAAAAAAAAAAAAACACAGTAAAAAAAAAAAAAAAAATTGTGAAAATATACTCAAAAATTATAAATTTGTACATGTATTTAATAAGCCTGATTTAAAAAGATAATTCCGGGGGAAGGGTCTGTAAGATTTATTGGATGCCAAGGGACCTACGGCACGTGCGCAAAGACTAAGATTCCTGAGGGTGTTGACTGTGCACACCTTGTCATCTGCCACGCTGGGGATGAAGGAAGGGGAGGAAGGACATTGCAAGGAAAGGACCCTTCCGGGGCTCAGGTTCAGGACAGGGGTGGCTCCTGAGCCAGGAGCCCGGAGTGCAGGGAGCTTGCAGAGGAGTGGTAGGGAGGAGGAAGGGGGTGGGTTGAAACCAGATGAGGACTCGGTTTCTACCTTTGTCACCGAGCTATCATCATCTACACCCCTCCATATATTCGTTAATCATACACCTGCTTTATCTGCCCTCCCAGCCTGCATTCCATTCAGGCAGACAGATGTCCCTGAAGGCCCGAGGGACACCAGCCGCTATGCCAGTCTCCAAGGAACCTGAGGGAAACCAACGCTGGTCCCGGTCTTTGAGGACTCCCCAGCCCAGTGAGGGAGACCGACAGGTAAGTAGGCAGTGTCCACGCCTGGGGAAGAGGCTGTAAGGGAGATGCCGCAGGCACTGGCAGGGATCCCTACGGAACAATCAGGGAAGACATCCTGAAGAAGGGGGCATTGGGGTGAGGCCTCTCCCCATGTCATGAGGCCAAGCCCAATAATAATAATGATGCTAATAGTAATGGCCACCGGCCGGGTGCAGCGGCTCACGCCTGTAATCCCAGCTCTTTGGTTTTGTTGTTTGTTTGTTTTGAGACTGAGTCTTGCTCTATCGGCCAGGCTGGAGGGCAGTGGCAACCTGAGGTTCATGTGATTCTCCTGCCTCAGCCTCCCGAGTAGCTGGGATTACAGGCACCCGCCAGCTCTTTGGGAGGCTGAGGTGGGAGGATCGCCTGAGGTGGGGAGTTCAAGACCAGAGTGGCTAACATGGTGGAACCTCATCTCTACCAACAAATACAAAAATTAGCTGGGCATGGTGGCGCATGCCTGTAGTCGCAGCTACTCGGGAGGCTGAGACAGGAGAATCACTTGAACCGGGGAGGCAGAGGTTGCAGTGAGGAGCGAGCACACCACTGCACTCCAGCTTGGTCGACAGAGCAAGGCTCTGTCTCAAAAATAATAATAATAGTAATAATAATAGCAGCCACCAACATTTATCGAGGGCTTGCAATGGGCCAAAATCACTACGCTAAGCACAGGACGTGAACTAATTAATTTAACCCTTCAACAGCTGTAAATGGTAGATACTTTTCCTGTCCTGCCTTACTGCCTTCTCCTCCCTCTCTCCCTCCCTCCCTCCCTCCCTCCCTTCCTTCCTTCCTTCCCTCCTTCCCTCCTTCGAGACAGCATCTTGCTCCGTTGCCCAGGCTGGAGTGTTCAGTGGTGCAATCACAGCTCACTGCAGCCTCAACTTCCTGGGCTCAAGTGATCTGCCCACCTCAACCTCCCAAAGTGCTGGGGTTACAGGCGTGAGCCACTGCACCCGGCCAGCAGATACTTTGATCACCATCCCCCTTCTTACAGATCAGGAACATTGAGGCACACACTTGTTTCCTTCCCTCAAAATGTTCCTGCTGTGGCTGGGGAGATGGTCATGGACACAGTGTTAGTCTGGTGAAGCTGTGCATTGATGGTAGCAGCAGAAGACGTTGAAAGGAAGCGAGAGGAGAGAGGGACTGATTCTAGCTGGGGAAGGAATTGAGGGTTGGGGACGCCATTTGTAGAAGGCTTCTGAGAAGCGATTGCCCTGCAGGACAGATCCTTTTATAGGGCGTGGACTTTGGTGCATAGAATTCCGTCATATTTTCTGTTCCTGTTTCTCTATCATTTGTCCATATCCCGATTTTGCTTTCTTTCTTATTTTTCCCTTTAATACTCCAGACTCACTCCTGTTTCCTCCTCTGGTGCCCCATAAACAAACCCTAACACCTCTAACATTCACGCAATCTTGGGTAGGTAGAAATGCTTACAGACCAGACGGCATTGCTTTGTGTAATTATATCTTCTAAATTGACACAAAGGATAAATGCTATCTTTTACATTGTGCTATAGACTGTTTTGTTTCTTACTTTTCAATTCAACATTAATTTTTTTGTTTCGTTGTTTTTGTTTTTTAAAACAGAGCTGGTGCCTTAGCCTCCCAAGTAGCTGGAATCACAGATACACACCATCAAGCCCAGCTATTTCTTATATTTTTTAGTGGAGACGGGATTTCGCCATGTTGCCCAGGGTGGTCTCAAACTCCTGGCCTCAAGCGATCTGCCCACCTCGGCTTCCCAAAGTACTGGGATTAAAGGCCTGAGCCACCGCGCCCGGACCAGTATTATGTTTTTATGATCTCTCCGTGTTACCAAGTGAAACTGATTTATTGCTTCTAGGACACCATGGAGGAATCCACTCCCTTTTGTTTACCAGCTCCCCACGAAACAGACCCCATGGTGGTCTCCACCTCCCCATTCCCACCCATAATGCTGCCCTGGGCATCCTGGGATATGTCCTTGTATGTTACCTGTGTATGCTTCTCTATGGTACCTACTTGGAAGTGGGATTGCTGGATCCCGGGAGAAATGCACAGTGAATGTCACAAAATTCTACCCCATTATCTAAGGTGGGTCTTAAAGCTCTAGCAGCATGTCACCAGGCAGAGAAGGGTGGAGAAGGGACCAGCCAGTTCAAAGGACTGAGAGTCCACAGCATGTCCAGGGTTCAGTGAATTATAGGTGACCCACCCGAGGGGTGGAACCTTTCAGGGAACAGCCATGTAATAAATACTCGACTGCACTGGTTTCTTTTTCATGTTTTTTTTTTCCTAAAAAGGAAAATAGTCTTGTTGTGGGCGGCAGCTTGGCAACGTCTATGCAAGTCTTAACTGCACATACTCTTTGACCCAGCAATATCACTACTCGTGCATGAGGAAGTAGGAAGAAGGAGGCTCAGTGTGTTGTGGCTTGTAAAGGTGGAACGTGGAAAACCACCAACAGCCCTACCAATGGGTGAGGAGTCAAAGGAACCACAGCTAGGCTGCGGCCATTGAATACGGTGCGGTGTAGACAAGATAAAGGTGAATTAAAACATAGGAGCACGGGCTGGGCACGGTGGCTCACGTCTGTAATCTCAGCACTCTGGGAGGCTGAGGCAGGCGGATCATGAGGTCAGGAGATCAAGACCATCCTGGCCAACATGGTGAAACCCTGTCTCTACTAAAAATACAAAAATTAGCCGGGTGTGGTAGTGGGCGCCTATAATCCTACCTACTGGGGAGGCTGAGGCATGAGAATCGCATGAACCCAGAAGGTAGAGGTTGCAGTAAGCTGAAATTGCGCCACTGCACTCCAGCCCGGGCGACAGAGTGAGACTTCGTCTCAAAAAGGAAAAAAAAAAAAAAAAAAAAAAAAAGCAAATGTCCCTATATTGAGTATCATCCTATATCCCTAAACTCAAGAAATGATAATATTTCTCAGTTCTGCATCTATATATGTAAAACAGGAGTTGGCAAACTTTTTCTGTCAAGGCTCAGATGGTAAATATTTTCAGCTTTGAACATATGGTCTCTGTCACAACTACTTAACTGTGCCCTTATAGCATGAAAGCAGCCACAGCCGCAGACAATACTAAACCAACAAGCATGGCTGTGTTCCAATAAAAGTTTATAAACCCAGGCCGTGGGGCAGTGTGGCCTGTGGGCTGTCATTTGCTGACCCCAATGTAAATAAATGGTAAATGTTAGATCTGGCTCAGTGGCTCATGCCTGTAATCCCAGCACTTTGGGGAGCCAAGGCAGGAGGATCACTTGAACCCAGGAGTTCGAGACCAGCCTGGGCAACAAAGTGACACCTCATCTTTACAAAACAATAAAAAAATTAGCCAGCCATGGTGGTGAGTGCCTGTGGTCTCAGCTGCTCTAGAGGCTGAGGTGGGCAGACAGCTTAAGCCTGGGGTGGTAAGTTTAGGCTGCAGTGAGCTGTGATTGCGCCACTGCACTCCAGGCTGAGTGACAGAGTGAGACCCTGTCTGAAAAAAATATATATTTTTCAAAGAAATTACACCAAAATATTATCAGGGGTACATCTGGAAGGCAGAGTGAAAAGGAAGGGCCTGGTCAAGGGAAATATTACCCTCGTGTTTACATTTTTTCTATTTTGTGTAATTAAAATTGCTTTACATTAAAAAGAATAGCTTTGGTGACCTTCTTCTCCTTTCTGATCAGTGTCTTAGAAATGCCAGCAGCAGCGGGGCCTAGTGGCTTACACCTTTTGTCTCAGCACTTTGGGAGGCCAAGAAGGGAGGATCAGTGGAGGCCAGGAGTTTGAGACCAGCCTGGGCAACGTAATGAGACCCTGTCTCTATTTATTTTACTATTACTATTTTTTACTTTTTGAGACAGAGTCTTGCTCTGTCACCCAGGCTGGAGTGCAGTGGCACGATCTTGATTCATTGCAACCTCCACCTCCCAGGTGCAAGCGATTCTCCTGCCTCAGCCTCCCAAATAGTTGGGATTACAGGTGCCTGCCACCACACCCAGCTAACTTTCGTATTTTTATTGGAGATGGGGGTTTCACCATGTTGGCCAGGCTGGTCTTGAACTCCTGACCTCAGGTGATCAGCCCACCTTGGCCTCCCAAAGTGCTGGGATTACAGGCATGAGCCACAGCACCTGGGCCCCTCTCTAGTTAAAAAAAAAAAGAAAGAAAATGCCGGCAGCATGTGAAAGCAATGAGGAAGCGAAGTTCTCCAGCACCCTACCAGCTACAGCAGAATTTCTCAGAGAGTTTCTTTTACTCACTTAACAGGTGAGTGAGAAAAAATAAAAGGTTTTATTCACTTATCCAGCACTTACCATGTACAAGGAACTGTCCTAGGTGCTAGGGACAGAACAGTAAATGAAACCGAGTCCCTCCCCTCTATAGGGTGGATATTCTGCAGTCAAAGAGAGACAGACAATAAATAGCAAACACAACAAATAAATAAATGGTGTCACAGGTGAGAAGGTCAAAGGTTGCTATGGAAAGACAGGAACAAGCAGCAGGTAAAAGAGGGGGCGGTGCCTGGGCGCCAGGTGAGGTATTAAACAAATAACCAGAGAAGGCTTCAATGCGAACGTGACATTTAAGCAGCGGCCTGAATGAATGAGATGAGAGCTAGGAGGACGTCTGGGAGGAAGAGCATTCCAGGCAGAAGGAGCAGCCGTGCAAAGGCCCTGAGGTGGGAACGTGTCGTTGCATTTGAGGAACAGCAAGGGAGAAAGTGTGGCTGTAGTGGCAGGAGCCAGGGGGAGAGGGGGAGAGGTGAAGAGAAATAAGGGGCAAAGCGGGTCACTGGTGAGGACTTTTGTTTTACTCGGGGCCATGTCGAGGTGGGGGCGGTGTCTGAGCAGAGGAGGGACAGGAGCTGACTTGAGGTCTAAGAGGGTCCCTCTGACTGCCCTGTGGGAGCAGACGCAGTGGAAAGTGGGGAGACCAGAGAGGAGGTGGTGGCGGTGGTCTAGGCAGGAGATGATGGTGGATTTGAC